CAAAAGAATATCGCAGAAATGTATTTGACCAAACACCTTCGAGCAAAAATCCTCTCTTCAGAGCACGTCATCCAAACAGACACAAATGACTTCACCAATTATGTAAATGACATTCATTAAAAACAAATGCTTAACGATTTCGTTCTGACAATCTGTAATTGCGAGCTGTAGTATACTCGAATCCCGCGACAAAACACTAGTGAAGATTCCCGTCTGAAAAACGAATTATTATTTTAGCTTTAGAATAATTAGTAGTACATACTGTGTACTGAGATTGCCAAATAAGCGAATGGTCTTTGAAAACGCCATACAGTTTCAATTAAAATCGTTTCGCCGTGAGACATATCCGTCCCGGATTGTTTGTGCTTTGCGGGTACTAAAAGTTTTAATAAGTATCCTGTTTTCCTGTTTCAAAATAACGTCCAATGATTTCATGAATTATTCAATGTTTCTTTCTATATTTTTCAAACATAGATATGGTAAAAAACATAGAAAGTTTCATTTCTCTTTTCTTCATTATGATTTCCTACCACGTAGTAACGGCTACCCTACATCCATCAATTTATTCAATGTTTACTATTATTATAACATTTTTAGACTGGATAGCAGAACATATGATGAATTTTTTTATGTCACTTGATAAAAGTCACTCAAATAAAAGTAAATTACCAACAACCGAGTGCAATTTCAAAATGGGAAAGTACCTATCTAACTAAAGACAACAAAAAACAAAATTTCGATCTTGTTCTTCGAAATTATTCACTACCTATAAACGCAAATGCAGTCTTTTTTCATCACGATTGTCGCACCGCTCCAAAGATAACTCTCTACCAGAATATGACATCAAAATCTCCAATACGGAAGTCATCAAACCCACAAAGAAAAGAAAATATCTTGGAATAATTTTAGACAGCAATCTCAGATGGAATCAGCACATAGACCGCATAGTTAAAAAATTACGTTGCATACTTTACAAATTCAAACGGATAGTAGACATACTCAATCAAATCCTGAAAAAAATGTTTTATAAGAGTTTAGTAGAGCCCCATCTGAGATATGGTATAATTGGTTGGGGTGAAGTGTCGAAAACTCATCTACATTCCCTTGAGGTTATGCAGAAGAGATTTATCAGATGTATCCTACGGAAAGGTTACTACCCTAGCGATCTGCTTTATTCAGAATCTGGAAAATTTGATCTCTGCTGTACGGCATAAAAACAAAAAAGAATTAACTACTTAACACCATAAATATGTTACACGTCGGAATCATAGTATCGTCAAACCATTAATGCTCAGTTGGGCAGAAATCCTACGGGTATTTAGGACCAAAACTCTACAGTTTTCTTCCTGAAAATTTAAGATGCGAATCAAGTCTCAAAAAATTTATGACAAAGATTAAATTATTTGTCAATAATAAACCACGAGCAGAGATACATAGACAAATATAAATTTAAATACTTACTTCCAAGATTGTGGATATATATTGTGTATTAATTTGTTTGTAGTCTGGAACCCTTATGATTAAAATCTTTATATCCATTGATTGTTTAATTTATTTGTATTCTGTTCAAATATGTCCAGTTTGAACTTATAGTGTTATCTATATCTAGTACTCATTCCAATAAATAGATGGTTTTATTTATTTATATTCTGTTGAAATGTTGCTATTTTAAATTTATATCTTAGTACTTAATTCAATGCGTGAATCTCATTCAATGTCACATTCAGTATTCCCATTCCTCACACACATGCAGATCATTTTGTTTCGTAAGATGTATTTTATTTGTTCACTGTTCATTTCTATATGTACATGTATATTTACTGTAAACAATTTTACGAAAGGGAATAAATACATATTATTATTATAATTCAAATTGTGTGGGGTGGAAATTATCGCCTCCCAAATTTGAAAATATCATGACATGCCAAGATACACCATTTCCGATTGTGGCTGGTCTTCACTCCTGATGCAGCAATTTTGCTTGTTAACGTATCCATTCAACCAGAAATGAGCTTCGTCGCTGAACACAATTTTTCGATAAAAATTTGGATCTTCCTCCAACTTTCCCAGCGTCCATTCACCAAAAACCTGCAGTACCACATCATCTGAAGAACTTGATTTGCCAATGTCCTCTCTGTCATAAAACAAAATGTAGGGTGTCTCTAGAGGCTCCAATAAATTCAAGACATCGACAGAACACAGTTGTAACTTTCACGACATCTTTTCTTCTGATATTTTTTTCAAAATGAATCCAAAAATAACCTTCATATTGAATATCAGCATATTACGAGGAAACACCCGGTATAAGAAAAAAATATTAAAACCATTTCGTTGAAAACTATTCGTTTAAATGATATCCATATATTTTTCATTCGTATTCAAAGAAGAATGTCTATTTAAAATAACTACTTTCCCCTAGAAAAGTTTTGGAGGCAATCCCATTCATATTTATTTTATTGCAAACGTAATGTTCGTGTTCATATATTGGAAGATTGTGTTACAATATATGTAATCTTATCCTCGAACAGTCAAAACAGGACAGTTCCCTGGACAATAAAACTCGAACTCCTCAAACAGGAGGCAAGGATGCCTCTTCTTTTTGAACGTATCATATCAATAAAAATACAGAAACGAACCGTTTTATATGTATTGACTGGAGATTTTTCTCGGGTTCACTTTTACGATCCGGCCAAAGTTATTAAATTAAGGTACAGAATAGACTAAATAAAAGTCTCTTCTCCCTCTTGAGCTGATTCTGCAAACATTCATTCGGTCGTTTTAAAAATAATAAAAGTGCGGCTTTTTCGGTATGAGTGCGTGCTGGATGTGGATTTATGAGATGGGCAAATGTCAGCGATAAAGTCGACGAAAATAGCAGTTTATAACGTTCGAAGATATTGCAGGGCGAGTCTGTGCCAAAAGATCGACGAACTAAGGACTCGCAGCATTGCCAACAAGACCCAAAATACGCAACAACTCTGTATTTTCAGTACATTTGACCATTTGTTGCGCTTTTTGTGCGCATTTTGCGACGCAGAATGAAATTTCTAGCCTTTAACTAGAGTGGAGGCTGGTATGGGTAATCTTAGGTCATTAGCTTGACGAAGGGCATAATTATTGGAGTAGGCACTTATTATTAATTTGTTAATCAAACAGACTATTTCTAAAATAAAAATTCAAAAGGCTGTCAAAATTTTATGTAGTTCAAACAAGGGTTTGCAATCTCGACGTTTGGAATTGCACATGAATCTCTTAGCTCTTTTCTGTATGATAAAAACAGTCTACAATTGAGTTTTGCATAATACTCCCCAGAAAAGAATTTCATACCTTGAATGAAAATCAATAAGTGAGAAGTGAGCCGATTCAGCGGCAGACAAACCAAGTTTCTTATAAGTTATTATCACGGCAAAACACCCTGAACCTAGCTTTTTATTGAGGGTTAGAATGTGATCAGCGAATTCAAGTTTATTGTCAATTATTACCCAAAAAAATGTAGAACTAGGTCTATTTTCAATCATCCTGTCTGCGTCTTTTGTTGTTAGTGGTATGCTGCCAATAAAACAGCGGAAACACTAACAGACAGCAGATTGGAGTCGTACCAGTTTTTTTATGTCTGAGCTTATAATCTCGTGAAGATCACAAAAAGTTTGATTACGCCATAATATAGTGGTATCATCGGGGAACAGGGTTAATTTTATTTCTATATCAATAGATAATAAATTGTTTATGTATATCAAGAAAAGTATCGGTCCTAGTATTGAACCTTGTGATACGCTATTTTTTATTACGCCTTCTGATGAGGATGATGAGGCTTCAACAATTTCTCTCTATGGAACCATTAATGAGTAATTCCACGGATGCCATAGTGATAGTTTTTCCAGCAGTATTCCGTAATCTACACAGCCAAGGGCTTTACCAAAGTCACAGAACACTGCTGCTGATGAATCTTTATTATTAATGTCTCCATAATTGTCGAGTGTTCCATATATCTGTTACGCATATGCATGCTGTTACTCTCTCAAAATTTTGTAACTTTTGGGACGTACTACACCAAGAAATTTCATCGAGAATAAATTTCTGCATACTTTTTTCTTTGTATTTTTTTGCGGGGCCCTTTTTGGTGAAACTATCGGTCCAAACAGGTTGACCACAACACCTCTTCAGTTCTTTTATATTCCGTGTACCAACTACTAATCGATCTATGCTGAATATTTTCCTCTAAAAAGTGGCCTTCGTAGAAAAGTGACAAAGACAAAAGATGGAACTGAAAGTAAAACAAATACAGATCATTTGCTGTTTTTATTAGCCATGCTCTGCCGATTTTTGGGCCTGGGGTTTCGGCAGATATTATTCCAGGTGATACGGCAATGCCCAAACTTCTGCAGACCATTGTTAATGAACCCGTCAACAGCAAATAAACTGCTTGTCTTTTTCAAGGTTATGTTCAAGTATGTGTCCATTTTTCCACAGTGTTTCGCGGAAAACAACTTTACTGAATCGGCAACACTGGGACTCGTTCCTTTTATACAATATACTGATGTAGTGGATGATATGAAAAATTTGGTAATAAAAACGTTTTTTCCGCCGGGACGAAGACATAAATCTAGGGTGAGGCACTTTTTGAATTGCTGAAATATGATAATGAAATTTCTTATTTCTGGTACGAACATTTCACGTAACCGAATTTTTCAACGGGTTATGAATTCATGTATTCTTCCTTATTGCTGCCGTGCTGCTTATCAAAATAATGAAAACAAACTGGAGTGGAAAGAAACTCCGTTTTCGCTTGGGAAAGCTATTGTATAGAGAAACACGTGTCGCGGTTTTTGTAAAACCCTTTATAGTGAAAATCATACAATAAACTGTATTAATTAGTGTTAATAAAGATTTTCATCAAGTATCGGCCAGTTCTATTCAATTAAAAAATTCTGTATACATTCAAAAAATGTGATTTGTGGACAATACAGTAAATGCTTTCTAACACTATTCTAATTTTCAGTGCTATGAAGATTTTGCTGGCAAAACTGCCAAGGCCATGGATCGTGGACGAGAAGAAAGACGACGGATATACAGCTCTTCATTTAGCAGCCCTAAACAACCACGTGGAGGTGGCAGAACAACTCGTTTTGAACGGAAAGGCGAACATGGACCTCCAGAACGTTAACCTACAGACTGCCCTTCATCTTGCTGTTGAACGCCAGCATACTCAGATAGTCAGGGTAAGAACTTTTTCAACTCTTATACGAATTCAATGATTTTTCACTAATCGTCAAACTCGCCAATTAATTTAAATTAATTCTTCATTATTTTACACGTAGTTTACACCTAAGAAATATATTTAGGATGTATTTTAGGAAATTCAGATAATTCATGTGTAGTACCTATACATACAAAGTCAATTCGAATGGCACAAAAACTAAATAGTTATCGAACTGCAATACTCTGAGTGATTGGTAAGAAATTCATACGAGATGTAATCATTATTTTTATGTGGGAAGTTTTATATGGTATTGTTGTAAATCATACCCTGAAGAAAATAATACCGGCCGCCACTGGTAGCCGTAACCAATCGTGATGTAGCTAAGAGCACGCGAATGTAAGATATTCGCTACCGATTTCGACGGAATTTCAGCGAAATTTTCTAGCGCTTACGATATATAAACGCTAGCTATGTGCATATCGATACAGTCAAGTGGAAGTTACAGTGTGGTAAGCGAAGCGATTTAGTACGGCGATAGGCATTCGAATAAAAGTGTTTATTGTATTTAAAGTGAAATAAAGTTAAGTTTGATTATTCAGTGTAGTGAATTATTGGTCAACCCAATGGGAAGAAATGGATAATGGGAAATTAGGTTTTTTCATGAAAAGTACCAAAAGTCTACTGTCAAAAAAGTTGGGGCAATTTGAAATAAATAACGAGATGTAATCATTATTTTTATGTGGGAAGTTTCATATGGTATTGTTGTAGATCATAGCCTAAAGAAAATAATGTCGGCCGCCACTGGTAGCCATAATCAATCGTGACGTAGCTAAGAGCGCGCGAATGTACGATATTCGCTACCGATTTTGACGGAATTTCAACGAAATTTTCTAGCGCATTCCATTACGATTTATAAACGCTAGCCACGAGCATATCGACACAGTCAAGTGGAAGTTACAGTGCGGTTAGCGAAGCGATTTAGTAAGGCGATAGACATTCCAATAATAGTTGAAGTTTTAGGTGAAGTGTTTATTGTATTTAAAGTGAAATAAAGTTAAGTTTGATTATTCAGTCTAGTGAATTATTGGTCAACCCAATGGAAAGAAATGGAAAATGGGAAATTGGGTGAAATGGGAAAGTACCAAAAGTCTACTGTCAAAAAAGTTGGGCAATTTGAAATAAATTATGACAGCGTACGCAGGCCCTCTTGATGTTACATGAAAATCAATACGAAATTATGATTTACACGTCAAAAAACTCGGATATCAAATTTCGTGCAAATAGTTCATTTTTTGAAAAAGTTATTTTTCAAAAACGAACAAAAAAATTAAATTTTAGCACCCTGTATCTCCGAAATGAAGCATTTCCGGGCACAAGTTTATAAAGACTTCTTTCTTACAATTGTCTCAGTAATGTATCTCTCAAATATTTTAAGGTACTTATGTTACACCCTGTATATTAAAAAATATGTGCAAGTTCACATTATCTGTAGAGAGTTGCACTGTAAACTGACACCATTTGAGTCGACAATTCAATGAATTTTTTTATCAACACAATCATATAGAATTTGGCATTAATTTTTACGTCAATTAGATCAAGAATAATATAAAACTCATCATGACTAAAATTGATATTTTTTGTAAAACAAATCAGAATTGACACTTTTGCCGGAATTTGAAAGAGTTGTCAAGTTTTGCAATTTTATTATCATATAGCAAATTTCATTAAGATAGCACTTAATTGAATTTTTGCTATTTTCAACAAAAATGATCACATTCAGTTTTTTGTTGATGCCTTGTCATACTGTTTAGTTTTTATATTATAATTTGTTACTTGAAATGCAATTTAGATACAAATTATATAAACAATCCTAAAATTTGAGCAGAGTTCAAACACTTTTACGGTTTTCTAAAAAATTACGGAAATTTACTTTTTCATTAATTGAATACAACTGAAAAATTCATAACGCTTCGAAATACTCGTATATCGTTGAGTTTTATGTATTTCAAGTTACAATAAGGCTGAAAATGTAAAAGTTACCCAATTAAATATGACTGACTTCGTAGTTTTGAACAATTCATCAGACTTAATGTCAGGGTGTCGTCCACCAACAAATGACAGTTTTGCTAAAGTATTAACGGAGTTTCTCATAATTTGTGCTCTCATATTTGAACAGCACTCCGTAACTGCATTCTCCACATTCTGGATGGGCATTAAACAACCAAATGTTCCAAACCAAATAAGACGAGACTGGCAGTATCATTGGCCACAACAATTTCCATATTTGAGTCCTCCAGACTTTATCTCAAGGTGTTATTCAAAGCAAAACATTAATGGCCGTAAGTCATCAATGCCAAAGTCCAATATCCAATGTGAGACTGTCAGTTGAATTCGAATGAGCCGAATATTTAATTTCAGCTTCTAGTGAGAGAAGGGGCCAATTTGAACATAGCCGATAAGGACGGAGATACTCCTTTGCATGAGGCGCTTCGCCATCACACTCTTTCCCAACTACGTCAGCTTCAGGACGTCCAAGACGTAGGGAAACTACTGATGGGACTTGGCACCCAAGGTTCCGACAAAAAATCTTCAGCTAGCATCGCCTGTTTCCTTGCTGGCAACGGCGCCGATCTCACCATCAAGAACAAGAAAGGGCAGACGCCTCTGGACCTCTGTCCAGATCCGAACCTTTGCAAAACGCTCACCAAGTGCCACAAGGATAAGCAGAGCGGCGAGATGGAAATGGGGCCCAACCAGAATACTCAAAACTCCAACGCCAATTCTACTCTGGAGGAGTGCTTGGTGTGCTCTGATGCCAAGAGAGATATGATCTTTCAACCGTGTGGACACGTTATGTGCTGTTCAGCCTGCGCTCCCAGGGTTAAGAAGTGCCTGATTTGTAGAGAATCGGTGATTACCAGAGTTAAGGTAAGATTTTTAGATCGATATTTATTCAATGCATCATGAATAGCTACTTGAAAACGTTGTATTTATTATTTATTGGTTATTCTGTTGTAAATTTATGTCTATCACGAATGAATTACTAGTGATTCGGAAATGGAGAAGTTCAATCAAGATTCAGCTTCATGAAATGATCCAAAATTTGATAATATAGAACCAACAAGTTGCATTGATGTAACGGTTGAAACAAATCTTTTTTTTCTGCTTGAAAATCATTTGTCCGTTATTTTGAATTTTACAAAAAACTCTACAGCTTCATAGGCTTAGTGTGTTTTTGCCTGCTATTTTTTCATAATACCCTTTCAGACAATCTTGTTTCTTCTTCTACTTCATGCAGGTCCTTTTTTAAATATTCATCATATTGCATTGTATCACATGCGTATAAGATATACTGGTACATGAGCAGCCTTTGTGCTGTTGTTACATTCCTTGCTTCCAAGTTCTCTCTTCACTTTATACAGCCTTATTTGTTAATGATCCATTCATGGACAGTGACCACTGAAAAGCCTTGTAACTATTTTGATCCAGTCCCTGTTCTGCTGACACAGTTCTTCAGTTTTTGTGGTCTCACTATTCTGGTCAGCATAACGACTACCTCAGCCTTTACCTATTTTCAGACGTTGATTCAACTCGACCTGTGATCAAATCTTGTCCAAAATTAATGTCTCCATCTGAAAGTCTCGGAGGTCCTAGTCCGTATATGTCCTGGGTGAACACGACCACAGTCAGTCAATTTAGTTGTGCTTATTTTAAGCTCTTCTTCGTCGATCCTTATTGAAGGCAATGTTCACAGCCAGTTGCATGCTTCCCCTCACCATATTATTGGTATATTTGGTCTGGATGACTCTATTGTCTGTAAAGCCAGAGCTTATGGTCCAGAAGAGCTAGCACCCAATTGGTGAAGCACTTCCATAGTATCTCCTTGTACTTTTCAATGTACCCCCTATATTTTCAACAAACAAATTTCCACTCACACCATACCCATTTCCATCACATTGTGGTATCTGTACTAAATACATTCGACGCGAGAATCTTTAGTTCTTCCGTTCAGTTTCTATGGTAATTGTTTTAGGTTATTGGAGACCTGAGGTTCCTTCTAGTATAGAACTTGTATTTATTAGAATCTAACCCATACTTGGAGCTATTCTACCGCCTCTTATTTTCTCCACGAGTCTCTGTCTTTTTATCTTCGGAGCTTCGTTGAATTCAAAAGACCTTTTGTATTGGTCTCATCTACTTTTTCAGTTTGTTAGTATTTCTATCATAGATCTCAATTCCACAAGAGAGTATTTCCGTTTGTTTAGCTGACTGTGGAACAATAATCATTGTAAAAGATGTATAAGTTTATAGAATGTCTTATTTCAAAACCACCCGGTCTGAGTAAGTATCCACATCTGCCTCAAAGGCTACCTAGTGAATTGTAGAAAGCTTCATGAAATGATCCAAAATTTGATAATATAGCACGAATGATTTACTGGTGATTCAGAAATAGTGAAGTTCAATCAAGATTCTGCTTCATGACATCAGGTTGTATTGATGTAACGGTTGAACCAAATCTCTTTTCTGCTTGGAAATCCTTTGATCTATCCATTACTACCAATTTCACGAAAAGCTCGCCAGCTTGATGGGCTTAGAGTGTTTTTGCTGCCATTTTTTCATAAAACTCTTTCTGACAATCTTGTTTCTTTTTCTACTTTGTACAGGTCCTTTGTTAAATATTCGTTATATTGCATTGTATCACATGCCTATAAGATATACTAGTACATAAGCAGCCTTTGTGCTGTTGTTACATTCCATGCGGCTAAGTTCTCTCTTCACTTTATACCGCCTTATTTTGTTAATGAACCTGTGATCAAATCTTGTCCGAAATTGATTTCTTCATCTGAAAGTTTCAGAGGTCCTAGTCCGTTTATGTTCTGGGTGAATACGACCACAATCGATTTAGTTGTGCTTATTTTAAGCTCTTCTTCTTCGATCCTTATTGAAAGCAATGTTCAGAACCAGTTGCATGCTTCCCCTCACTATATTATTGGTATATTTGGTCTGGATGACCAATTGTCTGTAAAGCCAGAGCTTATGGTCCGGAAGAGCAAGCATATACATCCCTAATAGCCTTGTTAAGAGATAAGTCTAATATTTTCAATGCCACAATTGGTGAAGCACTTCCATAGTATCTCCTTGTATTTTTCAATATACCCCCTGAATTTCCAGCAAACACCTTTCTACACACACCATTCCGTTTCCATCACACATTGGTATCTGTACTAGATTCTTTCGACGCGAGAGGCTTTAGTTCTTTCGTTCATTTTCTATAGTGATTGTTTTGGGTTATATGAGACTTGAGGTTCCTTCTAGTAAACAACTCGTATCTATTAGAGTCTAACCCATACTTGAAGCTATTCCACCTCCTTGTATTTTCTCCATGAGTCACTCTCTTTTTATCTTCGGAGCTTCGTTGAATTCAAAAGACCTTTTGTATTGGTCTCATCTACTTTTTGAGTTCATCCTAGATCTCATTTCCACCAGAGATTATTGCCGTTTGATCTTCAGCTGACTGTGGGACAATAATCATTGTAAAAGAAGTATAAGTTTATAGAATTTCTTATTTTAAAACCAACCAGTCTGAGCAAGTATCCACATCTGCCTCAAAGGCTACCTAGTGAATATTGAAGTAGTTTTGCTAAGATATAGTCGAGGTATGAGAACCTCTACATTACATTCACCAACATAATATCTTTGTGATTTAATGTCTATTACTTCTCTACGGTTCATGTTACTTTTGCTTAATCCCTCTCCCAGCCACCTACATGACAGTTATTAAAACCACATCATATTTCACAATTCTAGATCGAAGAATGCCTCGTTTGCTCCGACAAGAAGGCATCCGTCCTCTTCAAGCCCTGCGGTCACATGTGCGCATGCGAATTCTGCGCGCAGATAATGAAGAAATGCGTAATGTGTCGAGCTCAGATCGAACGCTTGGTTCCTCTAACGGTCTGCGCAGGCGGTTTGGGTACCATATCGGAGGTGGAGGCCGACATCGAAGAAGAGATCAAGCCGTCGACCAGCGAAATCCCGACGATTATTCAAGGACCGATCATGAACAACGGAGGAAGGGACACTACTAATTCGAACGACATTCAGAAGCTGCAGCAACAGCTGCAAGACATCAAGGAGCAGGTAAGTTGAAGGATGTTTGTGAATTTTGCATATGATGATTCAAATGACAGTGACCTGTAAGAAGGCCTGTAAGATATCGTAGTTCATCCCTACTGTAGTCCAACAACTGTTTGGTATCAAGCTTCGAAGGGTGAATAAATGCCTTGAAGTAAGCCAATCCTGAAAGATTCTGCCAGAAGTCCATAACTCTTCTTGCCATCCAGGTGTTCAGTGTTTGTTTGGCAAAGCCCAAAGCGATGCCAATGACAGGTTCTGGTCCAATGGAGCTGCTCGCAGCTCCCTCCTTTGCAAGAGAGTCAGCAGCGTCATTGCCTTTCAGGCCAGTATGGCCAGGAATCCAGACCAGAGACAATCTATTAGGTCTTCCTATCGAGGAGAGTCGTTTTTGGCAATTTGCTACCAATTTAGACGTTGCTTTGTAGGGTCTCAAATCTGAAACCATGCCTTCATTAAAACCATGTTGGCAAATTAATTTCTCTAGCAAACTTCCTAAAACTATTCAAAATATAAATTTCGTAACCTGTAGTTTCATGTTGGACATTTATCTTGATAATTTTTCTAAAACTCAAATAACTTGCCAATGATTGATTTTTGATATTGGGAAATTACATGAAAGTAATAATTTCGAAAATCCAAGACTTTTCTAGAATATAGGGTGTTCCATTGGTCACCATTCCGAACAATTTGTATAACATTTTGGAAATGTTGGTTCTACAGGACGATGGGGTTAAACATTTTGATGAATCATTACTAGCTCATTTATGTTATAACCGGAAGTGATGCGATGACTGTATCATTTCCATTCAATAGAGCATACCAAAAAACCTGCTCTTGCCAATTTTCAGAATATGACCCCAATTATTACCCAAAATACGGCTAGCTGGTCATTTCGTTCTACTCTGTATATTAATGTAATTCTTGTCTCCCAAAATACGGCTAACTTGTCATTTCGCTCTACTCTGTATATTGATGTAATTCTTGTCGCTGATTTAGGAACTGTTGCCAAACGTAACAGAGGTCTCAAAATTGACCCTCGAGGCACCTCTTTCATAGTTTTGCTTTCGATAATATCCAATTGTGTTTTTTTTTCAGACCATGTGTCCAGTCTGTCTGGATAGACTGAAGAACATGATCTTTCTCTGTGGACACGGCCTATGTCAAATGTGCGGTGACCAGATGACGGAATGTCCGATCTGCAGAAAAGCCGTTGAGAAGAGAATTCTTTTATACTAGAATTAAATTTAGCGAATTCTCCGATGTGGATTTTTTGTAAGAGGTGTAAAACTACTTCACTTCAGTTGTGAGTAGTGGCATATGAAGAAATCCATCATCGGGGGTCTTAATTGAAAAAGTAATAATGTAATGTTAAGAGGTCGTCATTCTACAGTTTTGTATCAATTTCAAATAGTTTTTTTTTGTTTTTTATTTTCTGTCAGAACTGAAATTGTAACAAAGACTGAGAATTAGCATCTGCTCGGAAAAACATCAAATCAAAAGGTAATTTACAATAGAAAATCGCAGATTCAACCTGCCATTGTCTTCAAGGTTTTCTAGATTCCAAATCATCTGATTCGGAAATGTAAACCAACCACTAGAAATGGTGAAAATGCCTTCTTTGATTTTTTCATGGTATTATTTCGAATAATCCCCCAATATTTCCCACATTTCTATCATTGAAACTCTGTTACTAGTTAATTCAGAAGAATGGTGTGATACATATTCAAAAATTCGATTTAGGGTTGTATGAAGTAAATGATTGAAAGAGTTTTTGTTGTTACTATACTCAATATCTATCTTATTTTTCATTGAGAGTTTACCTTCTTGTTTATATTCGTTGTTGTACATCCTTATTGGGGTACATCCTCTTGTTCAGGGATATTCAAGGAAACCTTTTGATTGTGGATATTTGGAAGTTCCAATTTTTTCAAGATTACAATATGTACGATCGTAATATTTACAATATTTTCTTTCCTTCATTATCCCAGTGGAAAAAACTTGCTTGGAGAAAGTTATTTTTCAACATGGTTGTAGAAATTTCCAATTGTCATGTCTGAAAATATCTTTAGGTATTTGTTTCTTCAAGTACAAGTTGAATGAAGAAAGGAACTTTCTCTTTAGTGAATTTAGATGGTATCCACCAATTGACATAAAACAATCATAATGTTCAATTCCTTGAAAAGCGATTACCTTGGATTTCTTTCCTTTTCTTTAAATATCCCTATATTTATCATATGTGGATGTTGATACAATAATTAAGGGTATGTTTATATCTGTAAGAAATAGCTTTTTTAATTTTGAACTGTTATATTTCAAATATCTTGAATTCAAATAGTATCCTTCCAAAATCATATGTGCAGATGTCAATGGACCTTCTTACTGATTTTGGGATAACGGCATAGATGAAAACTACATGCATGATAGTACCTTGTTGTATATTTTTCACAATTTTTTTGTCAGTACTTTTTTCAAACTTGAGCAAACACAATGGTCGTGACGTCACCAATATCTGATATGAACTTGGCAACACCGTTAAACTTATTCATATTTAATTTTTTTCTTGCAGTATCCTGTTGTTCTGACTATGAGTACGACATTGCCAACTTGATTATAAGATTAATATAAAGGTTAGTTCTGAATTTTTCCTTATTTTTGAAAGAGTTACCTCCGATTCAGAATGTATTTCTCATGAATGTCGTTTTATAAGCTATTTTCAATTGTTAAAATATATATTTCAATATGTAACTAGCGCTATTAGAATTGATAATATAAACATAGTATAATTTTCTGAACAGATCTTGTATTGTTATGTTAATTATATGATATGATGTTAAGTTAATTAGTAAGTTAGTTAAGTAGTATTCAATAAACTACTCAATGGGGCAAAGAAATAAGGGACTGTGGAAAAAACAGTTATATTTGAAATTCAATTTAAAGAATTACATAAAATATTTAACGAAATACAAAAAAAATCACTTCTGAGGGTTCAAATGGAAAACAAGGCAATAAACAAGAGAAAAAATACGTTGACCTGGTTCCACACTTTTGCCTGAGATCATTTTCATTAACAGTTTTCAATACAGGAGCCTCGGTTCGATAAAATCTGTCCAGCCCAACATAACCTCAATTTCACTCTATTCCTCAAACTTCAAGGAAAACTTATCCTTGGCTATAGGGTAAGTAAAACCAGCCGCAGGAGATAGAGGAATTCTGACGATCCCGTGAATCGCGTCACTTCATCGAAGCCAGGACCCTCTCAGCCCCGTCCGATAACGTCAAAGAATCTCCTTGGCTACTAGTTCGGCGCGAATGGTAAAGCGAACGTTAAAGGTAAGTTATCTTTGAATTTTGAGGAGCAAAGTAAAACTTAAGTTATGTTGAGCAGGACAGATTTTATCGAACCAAGTCTCCTGTATTCCCAACTGTGAATGAAAATGATTTCAACACTTTCGCCGGAAAATGATTTCGCTGAATTATTTTTTGGCGGAGGCTGCGTGTGGGAGCTCATCTAGTAACGTATCTACGCCACTGATTTGCTACCTAGATAGCAGTCTATTTCCTCTTCCATGAATCCTTTGCACACCAGACATCCCTAGCAAATAATCTATATTACTGGTTTCAGAATACACCTTCGAACGAAATGACAAATTGAAAATTCCACTTTCAATAATATAATTAAATTTTTTTCTCGGTCACTAATTTCTTTTCGCCTTCCACATTACATATTTTCTGATTTATACTTTGCAAGATACTGCTGAATGGTGAAGTCAAGACCAGTGTATCTTATCTCACTAGGGCTATTAGGCTGAACTTTTCAAGACATATTTGATTATTCTTTCATTTCTGTATTGTGTATTTTGTTTATTTACATTGAATAAAGGATTGCTTATTATAGTTGGTTTTACCTGAGGCTTCCTCGTAGATTTGAACTTTTTAACTGTATTCAAGGCAAAAAATCAAGACTAATCTGTAAACTAAGAAGGGAACTTATGAATTTGGTGTCAGAAGTGTCCTGATTCAAGATGGATTCAGACATCAAAAAACCACGAGAATGAAAAATGTATTTTTTCAAACATAAACATTACTTTGAGAAGCTGAATATTCAAAATAATAACCCAAAACAAGCACTTTTCTCAATAACCAGAAATGCAATAGTATTCTCATCAAGAGTGCCGTAGGTCAACAGTTCAACAATATATTTCACATAAGGAAAGGGTTCAAGTGATCACACCAGGGATGTTTTATGTATCTTGAAAATGTCTTATTCCTATAAAAGTGCCCAGAATTGTAAAATATCAAAATTGTAACCTAAAAATGCGGGAAAACTAGAAGGACTTTTTCACGTAGACAGGTTATCATCTTCTCAGAACGAGTTTCTTTTTGGTTGAAGCTCACTTCAGAGAACGAACAATCCGTTTCAGACATTCTAACCAAGAAAAAGGATAATTTACTATATGTGAGGGAACTGGTCGATATTTGATAAATATCCATTTTGAGAAGTGTTCACTCAGAGGCGTGTTCAATAATGAAGAATCCATTGTGAAATGAAACACGAGTCTAGTTTTGTAAACTGTTGAGTCGACACAAAAAGTTTGAGGTCACCGAAATTGTGTATCTTATATAGATGGAGAAGTCCCCCTACTGGTTGTTTACTCTTTTGTCACAAGTGACAGTTGACGTGACAGCTTAACCCTAAAATAATGTAGGCATGTAACCTAAAATATCTAACGACTAATACAGAGAAAATGGCCAGCACGACAGATAAAGCTCTTAACCTTCTTCGTTACCTCCCCAGAGTCTGTCTCGCCAATATCAGAGACAATCCAGGCTCAAGAAAAGTAAGTTCATAAATTTGCCGAACTCCCATTATTTGTGAACATTTCAGAAACCTCGAAGAGGTAGGGCACAACATGGAGGTGATTACCATGGTGCTGGTAACAAAGGTTCTGGTCAAAGACAAAACTTCATGCGATTAGGATATGAAACAGGCAACAACCCATTCTATCTACGTTTCCCATGGGAGCCATACTACAAACGTCATCAGTAAGATAAATGTTTACCTCAAACTGGCAATATCTCATCTCATATCATTTATTTTTCCTCAAAAATAAATTTACATTTGTATATATTCACTAATATTATTGATATATTGCTCGTTTTAGCTTGAAAAGGCAATATCCTCCCCTTTCTATGATCGACTTACAGAAACTCATAGATACAAACCGAATTGACACTTCGAAACCAATAGATTTGCAAGCAATTTTGAACACTGGTCTCTATAAGCTGTCTCCGGACCAGCTTGAATTCGGGGTTCAAATGACTGATGAAGGGGCAGACATTTTCTGTGCGAAAATCAACTTGGAAGTCCAATGGGCTAATGAATTAGTAATTGCTGCGGTAGAGAGATCAGGAGGAGTCATTACAACGGCTTATTATGACCCGCACAGCTTGCAAGCTATGGTGAATAGCAGAAAATTTTTTGAAAGAGGTACGTCATTGAATATTAATAATGATTGTTTTTCCAGCAGTTTATTTTTGTACAAAACATTTTTAAACGCAAATTATAATAATAGTAATCTTTAATTTCTCAAAAAACTGTTATAGTGTATGTTAGGGAAATACAATGTATTTAAGGGGCTATTTTCAGTATCGAGTAGTATAAACCTTTTGCATGAAATAAATGAACTGATGTGTCTTTTTCTTCCAAAACAACTGTCTACAGAACAATTATATAGCCACACAGCGAACAGTATTCTATCTTACTGTATTTATTGGATTAAAATGATTTACTAATTCAATTATTTAGAAATTATCTCCAATATTGAAACTTTCCCATGCCTTTGCTGATTTATATCATATCATGTTTTATATTTTTCTGAAGGAGATTCAAATGAAGTCTAGAGATGTGAATGTAAAGGAGTTGATATTTTCCATCTAAAACAGATGAGAATTTCAGCAGAAAACACCTCCATTGCTCAAGATATAGAAATAATACAAATATTCAAGACTGCTTAATTTATAGCTATAGATAGTGAAGCAACTGATCTATACTGATTCAGTATGTTTCTTATACTTTTACTGAGGAGGAGGGGATAAACTGTGCTCATATTGCTTAATGTACTTACAAAAAACAGCCAGATCAGTTTAAGTTCAGTATATGTTAAGACAGAGTTAGCAAGCAAATGTTAAACAGTGGAATATATGTGAAAGAATTATATTTGTAACGTAATTTCAAAGTATAACTGTTTCTATTTACATTTTAGAGTCTTTGTATGGAGAAGTTAATTTGTTTTGTCTTCAACTTATCCCCATTCAACGACTGTTGATAGTTTGCCTTTACTTGCATTCAAGTTGTATGTTTTCAGGCGTCCCAATCCCGAGAAGAATGATACCTCCACCAGATGCCATTGAATATTACACAGATCCATCTAAAAGAGGCTATTTGGCTGACCCCGAGAAAATATCTGAAGAACGACTGGTTCTGGCACAAAAATATGGTTACACGGTACCCAAAATTGAAGATGATCCAGATTACCAAATGCTGACAGAGAGAAAAGACCCTCGACAGATATTTTACGGGTTACATCCAGGCTGGATCATCAATTTAAAAGATGAGGTCATTCTGAAGCCTCAAAATGAAGAATTACAAGAATATTATGCTACGTAAATGTATGTGTAGTTTATTTAGAGAATAAAGTATGAATTAACAATTTTGTTGTACAATCTGTTATGCTTCGTTTTGTAGTGACTTATTTAGGATGTTCTGGACGATGCCAAGAGAG